AAAATTCTATGAAAAGATTTTTGTCTTTCTTGCTTTAAAGAATTAGGCAATTGGTTAGAGTACAGTATAAAAAAGATGTTGTGTTTTACTTATGTTATTACCTTTTTAGGCTTGACCATGGAAAGCAATTAGGTAGTGAGTATTGGGACAAAGGATTTACAAATTGGAATAAAAAAAAAACGGAAAGCTCACATCCCATTTTGAAGGTTCTAAATGTGCTCATGATATTGCTTGGAAAAAGTATCAAGATTTAATGAATCAAAATCAATGTATTGAAGTTGCAATTTTTAAGCAATCTAAACAAGTTCATGACTTACTATTAAAGACATTTGAATGCATCAATCAATTGTCTCTACTTTTTGTTAAAGTAAGGATTAGTAATTTTGTGAACTTATTAGGTTTTTCACTGACCATAATGAATCAATCAATCAAGTTATTTTGGAAAGTGCTCCTGAAAATAGCCGATTGACTTCTCATGAAATTCAAAAAAATATTATTACGGCTGTTGCAATTGAAACCACTAATGTATTATTTGTAATCTTGGAGATGGATATTTGTCATTATTGTTGATGAGTCACAAAATGTATCAAATAAGGAGCAAATGGTTGTTGCTTTGCATTATGTTGATAAAAATGAATGTCTTGTTGAACATCATCTGAGCATAGTATATGTTAAGGAGACTATTGCTCGATCATTAAAAATAAAAGTTCATGAATTGTACGCAACTTTGGGCTAAATATATCAAGAATACATGGACATGGTTATAATGGTTCTAGTAATATGCAAGGTAAATTTAGTGATCTCAAAAGTTTAATCACGAGGGAGAATTTGTTTGTATTTTATATGCATTGCTTTGCTCCTCAGCTATAGTTTACATTACTTGCGTTTGAAAAAAAAAATCATATTCAAGTTGCCTCTCTTTTCAATTTAGTGAATACTGTAACAAATGTTGTTTGGGGATCTTGTGTATGACGTGATTTGTTTCGTGAAAAATAAATAAAAAATGTTAGAAAGGCATTGGACATAGGTGAAAATTTCTAATGGACAAGGCTTAAATAAAGAAATTGGTTTTAAAAGAAGTGGTATACTCATTGGAGCTCACATTATGCACAATTGTTACCTTGAAATTGACATTTTTTGCTATAATTGATATTCTTGAAATTATAAAAGAATTTGGATCAAATGCAGGTCAAAGAGAGGAAACCAATGGTATTTTATGCTTGTTGGAGGATTTTTTTATTTTGCATTTACCCTACATTTAATGAAAAATATCTTAGGTATTTCACATGAGTTGTCATAGGCATTGCAAATGAAGGATCAAGATATTATCAACGTAATAAACTTAGTAAAACATCACAAAAGAGTGACAAATAACTTTGAGGAATAGTGGATGGGAGAGTTTCTTTTGGAAGAAGTTACTTTATTTTACAATAAGCATGTCATTAATAGTTCTAACATGGAAGATGCTTTTTTTTTTTCTTTTTGTCTAAAGGGAGATTGCATTGTGGAAGTAAATCTCAAGCAATCTCAGTTGATCATCTTTATTGAGTTAAATTATTTTATACTGTTGTGAATATGCAACTTTAAGAATTAAATGATTGTTTCATTCAAACAAATACACAATTGCTCCTTTGCATGTTTTGTTTGAATCCAACAAATTCATTCTCAACTTTTGGTAAGGAAAGGTTAATTGAATTTATCAAGTTTTATTCATGAGTTTTATTGCATGATATGTGAAGCAATACTAAATTTGCATCATTAAAAGGAATTAGTAATCCTACAAAAAAAATTAGTGAAAACAAGAAGATATATAGTTTATCTCTTAGTTTGTATTCTCTTGAAGTTAGTAATAATATTACTAGTTGCCACAGCACAAAAGAAAGAGCCTATTCTATTATAAACTTTGTGAAAAATTAGTTGCAGAATTGTATGAGAGATTTATTGATGAATAATTGTTTAGTGATTTATATTAAAAAATATATATTTTCCTTAGCATCAATAATGAGATTATTGTTCAACAATTCTAGAATATAAAGTCATGCAGGATACAATTGCAATGTATGTACATGCTTTATTTAAAAAAATTATTTTTAAATTATTAATTATAAAAATGTTGCACCCCCTGGCCTATGTTTCTGGCACCATATTCATTCATTATATAAAGTTTGCGATCGATGTTATTTTTTAAACGACGGGTAAATGAGTCTTTTCACAAAAAAAAATATATATTTGCATATAAGAAGTTTGGGGCTACAGAATGAATTTAGAATACATTGGACTTTATTTATGTATAATTCTATCGGGCTGCAGAATCAATTTAAATGTGTTGAACTTTAGGTATGATTTTACACCCAAAAAAAAAAAAAAAAGCTGATGGAGCTTGCACTATTTATTAGAAGAATGAAATATTAGTGCAGCTGGCACTCTTAATCATTCTTTTTTCAAATTTCAATTTATTAAAAAACTAATCTATAATATGCCAAATGTGACCTTAGTGAATTTGATTAAGAATTTACATGTTCAATTGCTCCTCGTCTCTCTATCTTTTGTAAGTTCTTGCTGGCTTACCCTCAAAGTTTTGTAACGTTCTGAAGTCATTTTTGTTTATTTATCCACGGATCTATATTTTGCATCTATTTAAGCCCAGAAATGATTTCCATTCTTATCATGTTATGAGCAGAGCTAATGAAGAAAATGTTATATAACTTAAAACTACAGCCAGTAAAACTAAAACTCGATAATTTAGATTGGCCTAACAAATTTGAAGGTCATGTTTAGAGAAATTGTAATTTTTTATATTCGAGTTTAATTAGGCCGACCCAGCATAATATATTTTTTATACATAATATATAAATTTCTTAAGACTTCCTACATTTTTTACTATCAGATTATATGTATATTTGAGTTTACTATTATAGAAATATTCTTAAAGTTCAAAAATATCTCTATTGTGAGATTTCTATCATTTGTAATCGATAAAGCACCTTAAAATAATCTTAAAAACGTATTTTAATACTGATTTTTAAATTTTAAGTCCCACAGTTTTCCTTAAAGAATTAGAGTCTTTCATATTTTTGAAGTGTCTCAAAAGGTATATTTATATTTTTAATAATAACAATAATTAATTTTGTTTATCCAAAAAAATAATTAATTTTAAGGTGAAAATTGAAATTGGATTAAAAATGAAAAAAAAAAAATAAAAAAAATTTTCTAACAATTCATATATTCAATTCAAAAGCTTAATATATTAAGATTAAGATTAAGCTTAGCTATATGAGTTTTTTTTTTTTTTTTATGTATTTGGACTTAGTTGGGATTAATCCAACCCCAATAAGTTGGACTAGCACGGAGAATGCACTTGGCATGTGATGGTTGAGTTGAGATTTGTATGTCTAATGGATAGTACTGGGTAAATTGGTATAATTAATTGTGTGATTAGCAGCATGACTTCTTTTTTTCCCAGTTGAAGGTAAATAGAACTAATGATGATAATCATATAATAACCCAGGAATACTTCGTTTAACTAGTTGAGAAAATTAGTTGAGGAAACTAAATCAACTTCTCCATCTTGAGCTCGAATCCTAAGATATGAAATATCGTTTAATAAATATGCCAAATCATTTAAAAAGAAAAAAAAAAAAAAACCCATGAAGCCACTGTTAGTAATAACAGTCTCACACTGAAAATTCAGATTAATCTAGATGACAGTGATAATACTCTCATGTTTTCCATAATACTGGATAATTGAATAATATATATATATATATATATATATTACTTTCCTGTTTTTCACCTAGCACAGTTACATGGTTGTAATTAGATTTAGGCTTGCAATAGTAATGAATATTCGGCAGAAAACACTTTAGCCCATTGGTTTTAATATGATGCTAGATTTAGTGAAGACATGTTATGTTCAATATCTTTTCTTGGGACAATTTATTTTTGAGATTATAACTATAACACGCTCAATGACGATAATGCCGACAACTTCCAAGTTGCGAAGCCGTCTGTTAGAAAACTGATGTGACTTGATTGTGGTCTCTAACCACAGACTAATCGGATTATACACAACCAGCGAAATAAGATATAAAAACCGTTGAAATTTCATTGATCACAACACATAATGAAATATAGGTGAAAAAAAAAGGAAAAAAAAATCCGTCGAAAAAATAATCAATCTCAAATCTAAATGAAGCTGCATTGCCCCAGAAGAAGAAAAACAAAGAAAGAAACGCATCATATTTTCATTCAATATAATTAAAAAAATGAGGGAAAACAATCAATGTGATGCACTAATATTTTGAGCACATGTGGGAGAGCAATGAGAGAACTATACTTGCAACTAATTTACCTATCACTAAAGGCTAACGCTTGTCTCTGATAGTACATATATTACAAGACATCCCTGAACCACTGGGACGGAACCAAAAATGCTTACAAACAAGAGCTCAAAAACCTTAAACCACGATTCCTAACAATTGTTATCTATAAAATATCTGTAATTTACTTCTGTATGCCCTAAAATCTATGACTTTATGAGGGGTGTAAGCCCATCACCTTCCCAACCCAGCTTCAGCATTTGATCAACTACTTTCAAGCTTAACTGCAAGCAAGAACTAGCTCAGTTACAAGCCATGGCATGTAGCAAGCTTCAGCTAAAAAATATGTTGGAGATATCATATTTTAGAGGTTATAACTCAAATTTAAAGTTTTAGGCCCTGTCATCCAACTTCCATGAGTATGTCATTACCCAATAACAAACTTTGACCATAGAGAAAAAATTGAAAATTAAGTGGAACTCTAAAGATTAACAGAAAAATATTAAACTGATAAAAGCATTTTTGCAGAGTTTAATTCTGTGCCCTTTGGGGTAGTTCTATGAACCTTTTTTTCTTGCTCACAAATATTCTCGTTAGATGCAATCCTATTCGAAACACGGTTAGGCACTGAATGTGGATACCTATCTTTCAATGGGGATTTGTTCTTTCAAGTTGTGAGGAACTAGTCTCTTTCAATAAACTCAACCCCCTGTTGGTGTAGTTATATGAACTTTAAAGGTAGGTTCCGTTGTTGCGAAATGAACATCCCATGTTATTTAGGAATTTTTTTTTTAAAGCATTTTGAAGGAAAATAAAGGAAGTTTATTACTTCAAACAAAATACATGGAGCAGAAAACGTGACACCTTGCACTGCAAACTACACAAAAAAAGGACAAAGTCAAAGAATGATTTCACTTACAGCTGGATCAGTGAAGATTATCAACTGTTTATCCAAAGTTGAGACCAAAAGATTTGTGTTATCCTTGTTTAAAGCTAGAGCTGTGATATCCTGTCCTTTTCCCAGCTTTAATATATGAAATACCTACAAATAATAGTACGGCATATTGGTTAGAAACGAGGTAAAACAGTCTGGCAGGACTGAGATTAAGGGACCTGCAGAAAAGGACGGCCCATGAAATTTCGTCGTTTCATTTTACGGTTATGTCATACTGAAATTAACAATCAATGTATGGCCCACATAAAAATTATCACACTTGATTCAAAGAGAAAGATACAAATAAAGATTAGTTCTAGACAAATATAAGGAAGGAAGAAACTGCAGTACGCAAGAATTGAGGGTTAGTTCTGCCTGAGAAAATTTCTTTAGCGAGGAATATGCAGAAAATATTTCTAGTGTGAACTCTAGGATAAACGCAAGTTCGAAATTGATGCGAAATAAAGCAACTGGGTAGTGTGAATTAGAAATCAAGATGTTTACTTTTGACATCTGAATTAATGCATCTTAATATTTTACCTTCAGAGTGTGCAAATCCAGGAAGCAAATAGATGGCAACGAAGCATTTATTCCATTGCTTTCTTGAGCTTTTCCTGATTCTGAATCAATATCATCATCGCTCAAATTCCAACTATTATTATAGACCCCAGCATTTTCTAGAGGATTAATTCCAATTAAGGCACTCTTCCCATCAACAGGAATTTCAATGCAACTAATCCTGCTAGAGAAAGATAATTGTGTTTCAGCAATTAAAACACCATTAAGAGTGAAGGTGCTGAGAGTATGCTCTGACTCGTTCCAAGTCACAACAACACCATCAGAGGAAAGGCGGACAATATGAGCCTTCACACCAACTAATCTTCTAATTAGACGTCCTCTTCTGACAGAGTGCAACAGAACATCCGAAGAAAGGGAACATGAAACAACAATTCCTATATCTGAACTGACACAACAACTGAGGATTTCACTATGGTGGCCCCGAAGTATATATATGGGACCTTCAATACGACACCTCCGATTCTTTTCTGTCAACAAGTTTGATGAAGAATTACTGCTTGTCGAAGGCTGAGTACCTGTCCCAGATGAAGGTTCAGACACACTTGAGCGAGACAAAAGTGCCCGATGTATTCTCCATAGTATTACAGTGGTATCCCGGGATCCTGTCACCAGGTACTTGCTATCCAGTGAAAGGCCAAGGCATGTTACAGGAGCACTGTGCGCACAGGCTGTTTCCAAGGTTTTAGCTCCATCCGAGGATATCAGCTTAATGCTATTATCAGCATGTCCACCTAATAAGAAGCCAAAATATTCAGGATAAATGTCAGATAACAAAGAAATTAAAATAAATGTCTTAAATAATGTACAAAGGTTTTTCACAAAATCAGAAAAGTGTTAATCACATATTAAGAAAAGATAGTTGTTTCCAAATAAGGTCTTACATGCTGCAACCATCATACTTTATTGGGTTAAAACATACCAATATCTGAAATGCTTGATCTAGTGTTTTCCCATTCCCTTTTATTAGTGGGCTAATACTAATTAATGCGGTTGGAGAACTATATAAACCTAATTTATGGGCAATTTTATCTGATCATTCTTGAACATGAGGTGGTACTTGAGACAAAGTTATCTGTTGGGGATAAGGTTAGACAATGGTCATAAACTGAGAACCCGTGTTATTAAGCTTAGACAATGTCTGTGGAAGTATTTTGTTTTAATCAAATATAGAGTTCTACTCAATATAACTCGTAGAACAATCATTCCGCCAGAGTGTATGTCTAATTAGAAAAGCTACAATGAAAAACACACCAGAAAAATGCGGACGGTCTAGCCTTTTGAGAGGCCAGAGTCCCCCACACCACACTCATGTTCTTCCTTAAACCCTTATTTGAAATCAGTCCTCAATATATATCTACCTAATAGTCCTTTCTCCCACACACCTCACGAGCCATGTGAGGTAATTACAGTGTTATTTCCCTTTTCCAAACTTTTGGAAACCTCTGCACTGGAATAAAAATCTTAGATCCTCCCATATCACATTTGTTTTTCCCCAGGTCCAAGTTCCAGAATACCATGGACATCATAGTATACCATGGTATCTAAAGATGCCCATGTTTGTAAAGGTAGTCTTTGATAAGTGAGATATGATATCCCATAGTTTTTCTGATATTAGATAACACCCAAAATGGAGTCACCTTATGACACTAATAATATCTTGAATGGCACCTGTCATCTTAGATATTAACAAACCAAAAACATCTTGCATGTTGAATCAGATCATGACAGGAGGATGAACAAGGAAAGATCAAATATTACAAGACTATATACGGTAAAGTCCAAATAACTTATCATGTTCAACTCCTCAGTATAGATGACTTGAAAGAGAGATGGAATATTTAACTGAACAACTAATTCCCAAATTCACCAGACACTAAATCAATGGTGATGAGTATAAATCAAATCCAACGGTTATAAATTTTACAGTACATAGTCATCTAAAATAATGACTTTTCTCAGAAAATAGATACCAGAGGCAACATATGTGAATATTCTTGGGCTCCACTAGACTTACCAGTAATAATTTCTCTGTCACAAGTAATAGAGACAATGGCAGTGCTTCTAATTCCAGAGACAGCAAATGCTTGTGCTTGGGGGAAATGCCAGTCTTCATCAGATCCTGCAGGGCCTTTGAACATGCGCATAAGTGTCCCACCAGCAGAGCCTGTAGCTTTTCCATGTTGGAAGAGGAATGGAGTACCCTGACCATCAGGTGTATTCGGCTGCCACTTGTGTTGTGCAACACAAGCTGCTGGTGCATTCATATCAACAACCACGACCATGTCTGAAGATGCTTGAATGGCAGCAGCAGGTACATTGCAGCGGTCAGGGGTGGGAACAGCATAAGGTTTGACTTCTTTTGGATTGCGGAATATTGTCTGATAACAAAGAGAATTGCATGCTTTATGATTATGACCACTTATAGTCCTAATCAACAATATGAAAATGTCAAGTAAAAAGACATCAAACCAAGATCTGATCATGAACTCAGAAAATCTTTACAACTTATTCACTTCGGAAATAAAACCTTCCATCATTTTTATAGATACTGAAAGCTCAATGGTAATGAATTCTACCTCATTATCTCCCAGCAGCTATCATCAAAACACATAAGAATAGAATAAATACTAACTGTAAGCAAGAGGAATAAATTTATAACGTAAATAGACATGAATCAAACCAGCCATGGATTTTCTCTTAATAATCTAAGCTTCTAGGTCAAGATAATGGGCGTGGTATCAGAACCTCTTTAATTCAATGATCAAAAGATCATTGAGACCTCACAACCTGCAGCTCCAAATTTCAGAACAAGAAATGGTGACAGGTTCTTTATTCGCTCCAGGACCAAAAGCACTTCCATATGAGAGAGATATTTTAAAGATGAATGGCATTCCTCAGTCTTCTGACAGGTTATGGCTATTGAAAATTGCATTGCTTCATGTAAAGAAAAAAGAAGCTTCCTCATATAGCTGCTAGTTGTTTCAGATTTTGAAATATTGCATAATGAAAATTTTGGATTAAAAGTTCAAAGTATCAAGTGATTCATCTCACATATAGACCTAACTTGCAGGCTTCATAAAACCAACCACCTTGTCAGTCAAATATTATGCGTTCCTCCTTTTAGGCTAAGAAGCACTATATTTAATGGTGCATGGTTGAACGCGCATATGGGCATTTTGCTTGTATCCTTTAGATAAGTTCATTTGTATATCCTTTGTGAATACCAACAATCTTTATTCATGTATGGAATTCTATTCTTCAGCTCTTGGTCAACATCAACATTGTCTGCCTCTTATCTACCAGAATTGAAGTCCATTACCTTCATAAAATATACTCCCTCCAGTTTCAAATAAGTCACCAATAATTACCTCACCAAGATTAAGAAAAATAGTTAGATTCATTAAATTTGTTTCAAATTAAATGTTTTTCCCAAAAATGGCCCTAATTAATTAACTTAAATATATTCTCACTCTCCCTCTTGTTCTTGGTGAGAAGACTTGACTATGTAGTTAATGAAGGGCACTTGTGGAATAAAATAATAAATTCTCCAGACATTTAGATAGGGGCCCTATACTTTAGACCAATCCAAAACTGTCTTAGATGCCCTATATGTGACTGGAAGGAATATTAAATTAAATTTTAGAGTTCAAGTATCATTTTGGCTCCTACTATTATCACGTCAAAAACAAACTAATCAGGTTTTAACCATGAATTTCCAATGCAGCATTAACTTGATGAGTCTAATATTTGATATATTATTGATATGTACTACACCAAACTCCAATCAGCAGTCTGTACACATAAAACAAAGCCAAACGAAGCATAATAATCATGAAACTGCACTACTATCAATGAAGTTACCTAACCAATCAGGGTAGAAAATTACCTGCAAATGCAGAACTTCTGATAATGGCATCTTCTTCAGGTGAGGAACAGTCAGAAGTTGAGACGGTGTCTGTCCAAAATATGCAATCTGATCTTGTGTGGCACGCTGTTGTACCTTTTTATTGGCATGTGCAAAAGAGAAATATCAAGTTGTGATTTGCAAAACAGATTTGCTACAGCCAAGGACAAAAGCAAGGAAGTTGGTTTCAAGCCAATGTTTTAACAAACGCACTCCATATAGAATCCTATAATGCACAATGCTTCCTTAACCATTACTGTCAGTGGAAAGAAATTCATGTTAATAATTCCCGATAGGTTAAGCAATTAAGATTGACTTGATTAACAGATCATCATCCTAAGAGATTGTCCTTCGATAAATTGATAGAAACTACTATGGCTTGTTGGGTTCATTTCCTAGCCTCCATGGTAGTGTTAATCCAGATCCCATTACCAGAGTGTATGTTTGGTTGGCTTTTTCATGGTAAAAGGCATTGTCATAGCAATCCTAATTGCACATTTTTTGGCAATAAAATTCACGGCAGAGACAGATGAATGGTGATTATCACCCTCTGGTTATGAGATGTCATTTTTTGCCCTCAGTATCCAATCTGAAATGATACAAATTACCCTCCAAATTAAGTCAATTGGATATCCCTCCCTTTTCTTCTTTCCCTTTCACCTCTTCTACCATTGACTGTCTCCACCAAAGCCAGACCATCTCCATCTTCACCTTCCCTAGCATTGCTCATCTGTCCTCTTCAGCATCACCCACTCCATAGGTCACATTGTCTTGTTCTTCATCAGATCGTGTTGTTTCTCTCTGGTGAGCGCACCTATCTTCATCAATCATGTTGGTTCTTCACCATCACATTTTTTAAATCTAGTCCTTGGGGTCCTCTTTCTCCATGGATTTCAATCAGGTCTGCATTTCTTGCTAAATCTTCCACTTGTATAGTCTTTGTTGATCACTTCTAGAAACTCATTCCTGATCCAAATCTATTATCTCTGGGAGTTTTTTCCCCTTTTCATTTTCTTTTTAAATAAGCATGAATGAACCTAATTGACTTGATTCTGGTTGAATTAACCTGATTTTTGTCGAATGGGTTAGGTTTGGCTTAATCTTATTTTGATTGAGGAAGAAGAAGAATAATTTGGGTAAAGGAGTGAGAATTGTTTGTTGTTGTTGTTGTTATTGGGTCTAAGAACAAAGTTGAAGCTTGAAAAAGAATGAAGAATATGTTGGTCGCTCAACCGAAGAAAAGACATCCCTTGTTGGTAAACAAAAGTCAACTGTTCGTGGTTAACATAACACCTTCCTTTGGGGGTAAACAAGGGGGGGGGGGAATATCAATGAGTGGTTATAGAAACAGGCAAGGAGCTAATGAAGAACTTTGCACCCCACTAAAGCAGCTCGAGAAGAAAGAGTACTGAATTGCCATTTATGCCTTTCCAAGCACCACCATTTGCCAAGTTCACCTTAAGACCAGAAACATCCTCAAGAATTCTCATAACAGTAAAGCATTTTACAAAATACCCCAATCTCATTCCGGAAGAATAAACAGTATCATAGGCAAACTGATAATGGGACTCCACAATCTCTTCTGTTCCACCTGAATACCCCTTATTAGGTCTCTATCATCTACCCTTATGATTCATTCAAATAAACACATAAACCACTATTCTAAACAAAGGGACGCTGGGTTCCCCAACTGCACTGCTCATTGTCCAAAAAGCCAACACTTCTGTCCCCACAATCTATTCAATTTTAAGAAATTATTCATTGGAATATTGTATTGCCTAGTGCATCATTCATGCAAATCATTTCTCAAATAGCAATTGATTAAATTTGATGAGCAACGGAGACTTACTGGGTCAGAAATTTTATCAATATCCACTGCTCCTTCATAAGTAATATAAAAGAAAACATTATTTGCTGCAATAGCTTCTTTTCCTCGTTGCTTGTACCTACAAGGTCCAAATCATTTATGTAGATGCAAGCAGCAAATCATCAATGAAACCCACAAGAAAAATGTAAACCTAAACAGAGAGTAATTCAGATCCAATTATTGACATCACAAGCGTAAATGTGCAAATTACAAAAAAGAAAGCATACACACATAGACATAGTCAAAACCTACCCGAAGATAAGGTCAATCCACTCATGCAAATGAGCAGATGCATACTCACTCTCGAGAGCCATCTGATGCTTATGAATGAAATCAATAGGATTCTCAGCCCAGGCAGGAAGTTTAACAGCATCTAGTATGACAGGAGAAAATAAAAAGGAGATCAATCAATGCTTTCATGTGAGTGAAGCTCATCCCAAATAACAAACACAAAATCTCAATGAGCATACCAAGCTTTTCTCCCAATTGTGTAGTGCCAAAATCAATTAAATTTCCATTTGTGAGAGCCTCAGGGAGATAAAATAGCTCAGGAACCTATTGTAAATTGAAAACCAAACTGATTAAGATACAGGTTAAAACTAACCAACATATGCATTTCATATGAAAACAATCTGATTGAGATTATATCATTACGGAAGAACTTTCATAAGCCTTCATTTATGTTTTTGATTAGGAATTGTCCTCCACATAGTACCATTAAATTTCCCAGAACTAATTTTCATTGAAGAAAAGAAACAGTACATCAATACGTAAAAGGAGAATTAAGGTAGCTCATCTACTTGAAAATCATGAAGAATCAGAAAAGATTAATTGAAAATAATATCCTAAGTATTCTGAAAAAAAAAAATCACAAATGATAATGCTAAATTGAAACAACAATTAGGTTTAAAAATAATGGGCTTAATATTAGGTCTGCAGATCACAAACATGCCCTGACCTCTATTACCAAGTGGTTACAGGTTAAATCCTCAGATTCAACCCCATTAAGTATCAGCATCTTGTGTGGTTATCCTGTGGTGAAGTTTAAGCCAAAGCGTTTTAATGGTGACAGAATCAAGCACATTCAATTCAAATGCCTAAAATCTCTAATGAGCGTCCTCATCAAAGACTCTTCAGGATAACAATGTGGACAAACACAAGTCCCCCATATGTCAGGTGAAAACTTGAATAGATGCCAAAGGCTTTGATACAATAAGGACCACGTTAGAACTTATTCAAAGTAAATGAGGGATTCTTGAATAGTTCCCCCTTACAGGCTTTCCCAAGGCCCCATTCAACCAACCCAAAAAAAAAAAAAGATAACACCTACTTTTAACAAACAAGTAGATCAAGCAATCAATTTTCTGAACGATAAATAAACTTATACCAATTCTTTGACATCACTCATGTCCTCAAGAACTCCATTCCAGGTAGCACCAATGTCAGAAAACATCCTATCAGCATGATCAAATTTTCCTCCTTGCAGTTGGATAGCAAGGGTGGTAAATGGTTCAACTCGAACAAGATAATACAAGACCTGCAAAATATATATATATATATATATATATATTGATCAGAAAATCCAAAACCAGAAATTTAAAAGCAGTCAGGTTCACCAAAAAAATAAAGAAAGGGCAAAAAAAGAACTTTGATGGGTACCCAAGTATGGTAGGGAAGCCTTTCACAAAAGTTAGCTGTTGAGGTGGGAAAAATGATGAACCAACATCTATTTGGGCCATGTCTGTGAGAGGAAAAAGAAAGAGCCAAAACTGATGATAAATGCATAAAGGAAAAACTAAGGAAGGCCCAAGAAAATATCAGTGTTAAGGTGGTAGATGAAGGGCAGAATAGGAATTAGGAGGGAGTCAACAATTTTGTCTGTATGTTTATGATTTGGGGAAAGAGTGTGAGCCGCCTAGGGTGTGTTATATTAAGCCAAAACAGGAAGGAGAGAGAACCTGACTCTCATAAATCCAAGGATGCTTAATTTCCTTTCCATTTTCATTTTTTCTCAGCCCAGATCACCATATACACTAAGCGCAATGCTGTTTCATTAATAAGAGCCAGACAACTAAAGTATTCCATAGTACTTATCACTATGGACTGAGTGCAAGCCTCATCCTACTAAGTAAATTCAGTCACATATATTGCATGACAGCATTTCGCTCTATCAACAGCCAACTTTTCAAGGAGAATGACGTTTAAGACCTACTAAAATGATGTTTTGACAATGGAGTCCCACAAAATGGCAAATTGCACTACAGTCCCAACAGACTTTTCTAACATTAAGTTTTGTAGTTCAATTACCATATTGCCCTTGCTTTGAAAATAAAAAAGGGCCACAAAACACTCCCTCTAAACAATTAGTTCATAAAGAATCATAACTTCTCTTATAATAAATATCAACCAAACCTCATGATTGACAACCACTATCTACAAAGTCAGCTTCAAGTTTCAAGTCTACTGAGTAACTTGTAACTTGGAGCTAAATGACAAGTAGCTCATAAGGAATAACAACTTCGATTATAATGAATGACAACTAAAAGCACATGATTGACAACTGCTATCACAAAGCCATCTATAGGATTTGAAGTCTATTAATTAACATGGAGATGAATGACAAGTACCTCATAAGGAATAACAACTTAATTTATAATCAATATCAACTACTTCATGATTGACAACTTCTATCCAGAAAGTTAGGAATGACAAGAAACTTGGAGCTGAATGACAGGTACACTATTAGGAATCATGACTTCACTTATAATAAACAACTACTACAAAGTAGTGGGATCAAATTAATATACGATCTAACTCAATTTTAGAAAATTGAAATTAACTTTGTGAATAGTAGTTGTCAATCCTGAGCTTTTAGTTGTTATTTATTATAAACGATGTTATTATTCCTAATAATGTGCTTGTTATCCAGTTTCAGGTTACTCATTACACTTAAAATCCTTCTGCATGATATTTGTCAATCCTGAGCTTGTAATTGTTATCATTATACTGACATTGTTATTCCAAATAACATACTCATCATTCAACTTGACGTTACCTGGTAGACTTGAAATCCTAAAGCTGATTAGATGGTAGTTGTCAACCATGAAATTGTTGTTATTTCTTATGATCTACTTGTCATTCAACTCCACATTACTCAACAGACTTATCTTGAACTAGCTCTATATATAGTAGTTGTCAATCATAAGGTTTTAGCTATTATTCATTATAATCAAAATTGTCATTCCTCAATGATCTACAGGTCATTCAGCTGCAAGTTAATCATTTAGAATTAAATACTGAAGCTGACTTTGCAGATGGCAGTTCTCAATCATGAGGTGCTAGTTGTTATTCATTATAAGCAAAGTTGTGATTCCTTATGAACTACTTGTAATTCAAAGGGAAAATTTTGTGGGCATTTTTTATTTTCAAATTAAGGGCAATATAATGATTGAGCTGTAAAGCTTACTGTTAGAAAAGTCCCTTGGGACTACAATGCAATTTGCCTCATTTTTGGGACACCATTGTTAGAAAGTCCCTTGGTATAAGGCTTGTTGCTATTGTTGTGGTTGGATGCCATTGTCAAAATGCCATTTTATCAGGCCTTAATTGTCATTCTCCCAACTTTTTATATGTATCATTAACAAAAAGATATTGTTCACCAATGTCTTTTGAGTGTTCTTATTGCTATATGGTAGTTTGGGCAGTATAAGGACAATAAGAGCATGAAGTTAGGGTAGTAAAAATGAGGGTATTAAGATGTATGTATAGTCATACAAGAAAAGATAAGATTCATATAACCATATATGACGAAAAGTTAGGGTGGCATCTAACAAGGAGAAGATGGTAGAAAACCACTTAAGGTGATTTAAACATGTAAAAAGAAAGCCATTAGAGATGCCAATGGAGAGGGTTGATTAGAGGGTCTTAAGGTAGACGAAGACCAAGAAGAATGCTAAGGAAGTTATTGAGTGGGACCTTTTGGTGAATGGTTTATCTAAAAAGCTGGTTGTTGATAGAACATAGTAACGTAATGCTATCCATTTAGCCTACTCCATTTAGTGGGATAAGGCTTCTTGTTGTTCGGCAAATACCTTGCAATCACAAACAAATCTCAATGCCTTTTCTCCATTTTAACAACCAAACTTGTACCCTATAGGTAACATCCCCATCAATTTTCCCATCATTTTGTATTACTGATCCCAAGTACTTGAACTTTGATGGCTATGGTATGGTCTAATCTCCAATTTTACCTCCAAATCTTTGTAACTTGCCTTTTTATTAAAGATGCAATACATATATTGAATCTTACTTTTATTCGGGAGAAAACCCTTTGATTCAAAAGTCCATCTCCATAACACAAGTGTAGCATTAACCTCTTCTCTAAACTTCTGGGAAACTAATTGCTAATTAGGGGTGAATTAGTGATTAACGGATTAATTGTGGTTTTGATGATAAATTAGTGTTTTAACTGGTTGGGGTATTGAATGAATAGAAACAAATGTTCAGAGTAAAGTGTGCGAGTAGCAGCGAGATTCTACTCATTGTGCCACATGCTACGACATGTATTGTATGCGCTATAACGCATGGCACAAAATTTAGACAAGTCAAACGTGCCAACTCGTGACAATCAGAAGGAGAAGGGAGAGAAAACGCACGAGAGGAGGAAGATCTGTTGTGCCAGGGCATCAAATATTGAAGTACTGGAAGTCAGTTATCCAATCATATAGTGTTTGTTAAAGTCGAGGGAAGCAAGAAATGTGTCGTTATTGTCTATGTTGATGACATAATACTCATCGAAGATCACTTTGAGGAGATAGAGAGAGTGAAGGCTGCCCTTAGAAAGGAATTTGAAGTCAAGGATCTACGGAAGCTAAAACACTTTCTTGGGATGGAAGTTGCCTAGTCAAGAAGAGGAATCTATGTTTCTAAGAGAAAATATATACTTGATCTCCTGATGAAGACAAGTACGTTAGGCTGTAGACATATTGAAACCCCCATTGAGGTCAAGAAATTAAAGAAGAAGCTTAAGGTAAATAAGGAAGGTGAAGAAGAAGAAGAGGAAGTCAAAGATAAGGAAGAAGCAACTAACAAAGAGAGATATCAAAAGCTCATTGGAAAACTAATAAATCTCTCTTATATGAGGCCAACTACAAGCCTTTGCTGTTAGTATAGCCAGTCAATATGAGTTGTCCAATGAAGAGTCATATGAAGGCAGCGTACAGAATCTTGAGACCTCTAAAAGGTACTCCTGGTAGAGGTTCGTTCTTTAGAAAACATGAGTAAAGGTCCATTGAAGTTTACACCGACACAAGTTGGAGTGGAACTTATAAAGATCAAAGATCAACCTCCGGCTACTATTCATTTGTGTGGGGAAAATTAGTGACATGGAGAAGCCAGAAGCAAATAGTTGTTTCCAAAGCAATGCTAAATCGGAATTGAGAGCTTTAGCTTAAGGAATTACTAAGGAGTTATGGCTTAAACGAGTCTTGAATGAGATACAGGTTGGAGCATGCTCACTATTAAAGCTCTACTGTGATAATAAGGCTGCCATAAGCATGGCCTTAAATCCAATAAAACATGACAGGTCTAAATATGTTGAGATTAACTGACATTTCATCACATATTTGCTTACAAAGTTGCAAGCTGCTGATGTTTGACTAAAAGGTTACTTGGACCTGCATTTAAGAATAGCACAAGCAAGTTGGACATAATTAGCATCTATGATCCGCTTGAGGAGGAGTGTCAGAATATTAGACATTTATTGTAAATATTCTTAGGCTTTATTAGTCTTTATTAGTAGTTATTAGTAATTATTATTATTTTCTCTCATCCCAGTGTATAAAAACCTAGTTGTATTTCAATATTTTGTATCGATAAGAAATATTTTTACTCAAATTCCACGTGTATGCATGAGAAAATAATGCCCTAGTCTAAAGTAAAGGCTTGTGGCCCTGTTTTGTGTAAGGCTAGGAAGTCATGGTCCAAAGTGTTGATTATAATCCACTAGCAGAACTCAGGAGTGCATGAGCATTCATATGTGATTAAAGATAGGAGTTCACCTTATGGAGTTGTGTAAACCATAATCCTAACGTGTGTGACGCCAATGCCCTATGAACCACAGCTAACAAGCATGGTTGGGTTACTCCTTGTCACTATGTAAGTGATTGGTAGAAGAGTATTTATTTGACACCCTACTGATTGGTTAGGGAGAATCCATAGTCCAAAGGTGGTTAAGAGATATTGGCCCTATTTCCCCCACTAATGGTGAGCTTAGACTAACCAAAAAGGTTCTATGTATAGCTTATAGGTTCAGTCAAGAGATCTGGAATTTGGTGGATTCCAGTGAAACAAGCTCATTCATTTGATCTGTGCATTATATCTTACCTATGCTTGAATTATTGCGAAAATGATACTAATCTATCTCATGTGTATAATTTTATCCGTTAATCGGTGCTTGACTTTATTCAATTTACTGGGACCTATATCTCACTCTATTACTTCATGTTACACAGGCTGAGACCTCTAAGAGGCCAGGAAAGGAAACATGAGAAGAGTAGCTACGTTACTACAATTGTAATGCTGCTCTTTAATAAATGAATGTACATTTGTATATAAAGTGTTTGAGTTGCCAACTAAGATGCATACATGTATACTTTGTTTTGGTGACTTGCTTGTACTGTTTTATGTGCATCTTCGCCATTTGTGTAAGCGTGCATAAATGTGAACATATGGACGGCTTAAATGCCATTACAATCAATTGTGTAAATGTGTTATTTTGTGAAATCTTGGCTCATAATATGTGCAAAGTGATATTATCCTAACTTGTGGTGCCTAAAATATAGGTACCTATGCAAAGAGAGGTGTTAGCTAATGAGCAAGATTTGTGAATGTTAAGCGTTCAACTTGTTCCACTAGTGTGTATGTGTTTTGTGATATTATCTAGGTGTGTATGAATCATGTGGCTTGTGAATTTTGACTAAATGGTGAAACTTAGCCCCATTTATGTAAGTCAAGTATAGATGATAGAACAAGTGTTCTTGTGTATAAATGATAGTGTTGTGATAAAGCTTAGTGTACATGTTTCCTCATGTAAGCCCACATGTGTGAAAGGTAGCGTTGAAAGTTCAAATTGTGTGTATGACATGTGATATGTGATATAATATGCCAATCAAGTGTATTTAGTCTTTTTGAACTTGGTTCAAGGCTCAAAATGATCTAATGAGGCAAGGTGTTAAATTTGAACACTTAGGGTGCTTGGTTTTGTAAAAAAAGTGACTTTTACACCTGAGTGTCCAAATTGAGGTTCCACCGTCAGATCATTCCCGAACTTGTCTCATTAGGTAACTTGTCTTACGAGTTTTGTGTGAGCACTTAAATCACTCTAATCGGAGATCGTGTGTGAAGATGATGCACATTGGAAGTTCATGTTAAATTGCTGTAATGACAACAAAATCTAATACATGCATCATGGTGCATGACACAAAGCTGGAACTCGTGGCTCTATACCACATGCCGCAGCAAATGGCACATTTTGGGAAACATAATTGTTTTAATCCCTATTTCAAGGGTATAGTGACTATGGTTTCTTAAGTTCCTTTGTTGAGCAGTAATCATATATTTGAGTGTTTTTAACTTAAAGTCGGAATCCCACATCTTCAAAATAAATTAAGTATTTGTGTTGTGGTGCTTGTAAGTAAAGCCCGTGGTGTATCAATGGGACTTTATAGATGATCTGTGATGTAAACCAATCTTTATAAGAATTTCCTTTGTCTCACCTCTAGCTGCTCTCACACTAGTTGTTACCCCCTTATGCATGCCTATATATGCAATACAAAAACCTTTATATTTTGGGGCTCTCCATAGCACTTGTCTTAGTACTCGATCATAAGTGTTTTCAAGGTCAACAACCCAGGAAATTATCTAGAAGAAACTAATTGCAACCTCCCTATTCCCACACTATCCTTTTCCAAAAATTCCTACATATGCAAAGGAGGACCATACAACACAACTAATCCAAAACCCTACTTCTAACTATATGTCAATGAGCAAAATTATTCCCTTCTTTGTATGCGTGACTGAATTGCTTACTCCAACTTCCACCAGCCTCTCCCTGCAAAGGGTCAAAGAAGGGTCAAAGAATGATTCAACGTACTTCCATTTGACCAATTCATTCAGCATGCCCGTCTCTTGAGAAATACAATAACACTTAGCTTCCTTGCAGATCAAATCAAGGACAGAACCAGTACAAAAAGTTTAGGGGGGAAAGAGTGAAAATTGATAATTATTAAAATTATTTTAAGTATTTGCTAGATAAGAATAGTTACAAAACTCATCAAAATTTTGAAGTTAAGATACTTTATAGCAAGAATAAGAGACTACAATAATATCTCAATATAAAAAATTTAGGTCTTAAAATATTATTAATTGTTGAATCATCTAATTCAATATTTATCAATTGAATAGAATTCTTCTATAATTTATGTAATAAATTTTTAATCATTAAAACATATGCAATGAGATATGCAGCAAACAATTTTATTTTTTACTTGTTATAATAAAGCTGAAATTTTTCGAGAGGTAGAAAGTATAATTAAAGAAATAGGAAAGAAATAGATTTTATTAAAGAGTGACAATAAGAGTAGAATATGCTATTAGTATTTGAAGTATGCTTCTAAGAATATATATATTTAAGACTTTAAAATATTAATGAGAATAGATAAATATTATAGGAAAATTCAAATTTGTTAAAAAGGTATTATACGTATAATACATATAAAACAATATTAAATTACTTAGTTATGGGGAGAAGATAATATGTCTTCCAAAATAATAAAAAGATGTTTTGAAATTTTTTTTTTTCAATTAATTTCGTCTGCAGTGTGTGCCTGGCTGCTGCTATGTAGACAGCATGAGAAAGCGAAGTAAGAAACCTTAGGGGGTGAGGACAATTGCTTATATATACATATATGGTCTTGGGAAACGGTTGCCCCTTAATGAATATATGTAGTACCGTCCCTGATCAACCCTCCACAGTTAGCACTTCTTCGAAATTGCTGGTTACTACCTCTGATACTGATTCATGGGCCAAAAGAGGATAGGAACCAATCTCAAAAGTGAGCAATTGAAGTGAGACAATACCCACTTAAATATACCAAAAAGCATCCCATGCCACACAATGTATAACTTGAGAATCATACACTACTTTGGTTTCCATCAGATTCAAAATTAAACTAAAACAACTTGACCAGGAGTGCGTTATTAACAGTGATGTCACAGAGTAAACAAACTAGCCCAAGATCCAACTTCCAACAACGAAAATGCAATAGCAGATACATACAGAGCACACTGCAATATGAACAATCTACAATGATAAAAATGGTCAAAAATGCAGGAAAATGAAGGGAAGACCCACCGTTCCTGCACTCGAATAGTGTGATCCATAATGGAATTTGGGAATGATTGGATCATCAAAGTTAGCGTATCTCTCTTGAAATTTTTTAAGTCGATCAGAGTTCAGTGCACCAACAGGCTGCAACAAAATCAAATGCTTTGGTAGCAAATAAAAAGAATACAAAATAAGAAAAACATTAACTGCTTGAGGGAACATTCAGGAAAAGAACCTTTGACAGATCTCGGTAACAAGAAGGATTAGAAAGATCCAAGCTCTTTGAACTGTAATCAGAAAGAACCCAGGGGAAAACTGGATACTGCCAGGTATACATTGCAGTGATACATTATTAAGGGAATAAAGATAGGTGCAAGAGATTAAGAATACAAAGTAATGCATTAAAAATGAAGATCAACCTGAGTGATATCATTATAACTACGCCCAGCCAATGTATTGAGCTGCATTAAATATTCAAAATTGCTGATCTGCACAAGGAAAACATGAATTTCATATACTTCTGAGGATGCAAACCAAGAAACAAAGCATATTTAATGAATTAAGGCATGCTTCATACCTCCCACCTAGCCCAGCGCTCCATAAGTTGAGTTCTTTTTAAAAGTTGTTCAGGTCTCTGCAAAAACAAAAAGGTTGGTTTTTTATATTTGGACCAAAAAGATCAATCCTTTATCAAAGATTAAACTGCAGAGAACATGAAAATGGAACTGAAATTTATTTACTAAAATTTATTTACATAAATACTTATCATAAGACAAGACAGAATGAGAGGGAAAAAAGGGGCAATGAAAGGGAATAATATAGTCATTGAAAGGAATCAACCTGCGTTGCCAAATATATGTTGTTTAAATGTGGAGGACGTGCTTGGACAATTGCTCGATATGCATTTCTTCGGCCCTCAATACTCTGAAGAGGAAAAGAGGAAAGAGACAGGTAAAACATAGGATTATCAAGTACCAATGCTGAATTATCAGTAAAATAATCAGAATAATATGGCAATTGAGAGTACTAAATAAGAAGCACATCTAATCAGTACCCCAAAGTCAAAGAAAAAGTTTGATCGATCAACCATAAAGAGCTCCAAAGCACTTCTTCTAAGGAGATATCTGCAGCAGAAATCAACACTCAAATCGACTGGACTAAATCTTCAAAAGAAGATAATTCAACTTTTAAGCACGAAAAAATATATTCTATTGTTTTATAGAAGAAATTTCCAGATGGTTCACAAAATGCATGAGAAGAGGATAAGATATCCTCCTGAATAAGAAAACTAATAAGTAAAGAGAACTAGACAGAGAAGCAGAGATATCAGAGACATGCCACAAAATAAAAGCAAGGAGGAACCCCTGAAAATCAAGCGTTTCCCACCAACCAAATTTATTTGCAATTTTACAAGATTTCATCATCATCAAATCTACTCTGTGCTGACGTCCAAACAAACAACTTCAACTTTAAAGGAGCATCAAGCTTCCAGATGGATTTCCAAGGAACAAAAATGTCCCTAGCAAGTAACTTGATGAAAATAAAAAAGATTACAAATTAGGAGAATTGATGGACTAGACTCTCCTGCCTAAAGTGGAAGATAGAAAGGGCAAAGGGATTCCATTATATTGATATCTTACCAATAAGACCTCAGATGCTCCATTCTGTGCATCATATGGCTGGATAGGTCAAAATAACCGAATATAGTCCAAGCATAAAATACATTTGGTTGACACAGAATTTTATAAGCTTATAGTTAGCACTTGACCATACAACGTTCTCCATCAAGAGGAAAGGGATAAGCCATGATAAGTAACATTTTATAATTTTTTTAACAGCAGATATTATTTTTCTTCACCGTTGTCAAATTACCTTGTCATTAAAATTACACCCTCATGCACCATTGTCTTTTCAACAACTACCTGTACCATCACCACCACAACCAAAAGAAAACTACCCTAATTGCATATGTGGATTTATAACAATTGCATATGGAAGAAAAAGAAATAGAGAAGCTGAAGATGATTGTTGGTAGTAAATTTTAAGAATGGTAGCAGTGAAGAGGAAGATGCGTAGTCTAATTTTCCAAATAAGTAAACTCCAATCAAAAGAAATAGGGACACTTAATAGCAAACTTGAAGAAACTCAGGCCTTGTTTGGTATGATGGAAGAGTTTCTGATGAAATTGAGATCAAAATCAAAATAGGAAATGGAATAAAATTGAGTTATAAAAGTATATTTGATATTCACATGGAATCCGTGTATTATTTATTATTTAGTATGCATATTTATATATTAAATGACTAAAATAACCCAGATAAAAAATATCTCCCTCCACAATTGAAGACAAATCAGTGAAAACCCAGCACCATGCCCCTCTGCACAAAAATCCTTTAATCATTGACTTCAGGGTAAAATTTCAAGCCAAAACCGATAACGCACTCTTCAGATTTAATTGTCTGAAGTCCATGATTCAGAAACCAGAGAACATCAACAATGTCTGGAACAGATAAGGGAGGTAAGGGTCTCAGAAAAGGTGGAGCCAAGTGTCACCATAAGGTTCTGAGGGATCTCAGAAAAGGAGAAGCCAGCAGAGTTAAGCGAAACAGCTGGTTGGTGGAAGACTATCACTGCCATGGATGTTGTGCTCAAGTTTTTGCTGGAACAAAAAAGGAAAAACTTGAACCTAAAAGATCTCGAGATAGCAACAGAACAAAAGAAATTGAACCAAAACTACAACAAATAACATGATTGAACCTGGAGAAGCTTTTTGTGTTGTTGCAGGTGATGGTTCGTTAAAGGCTGGAGGTTGAAGGTCAATGGTGACAACAAAGGTTGAAGCTCGATGTCAAATTGGTTGGAGAGGGCAAAATAGGGGACCATGGAAAAGAATTGGATTCTTTAGGGGAAACGAAGGAATCTGATTCCAAGGATTTTGTCAAATTAAGGATTCTTAAGAATCTTAAATGTGTCATACCAAAGAAGCAAAGATCAAGATTCCATGTCTGATTCAATTTCCTTACTTTCAATTCTTGGATACCAAACAGGGCCTCAAGTAGATTTGAATACAAAACTGAAAAAGCTTGTAGATGGAATTGGTTAGGAACCAATGAAGTTCTCTAACTAAAACTTGGAACAATATAACAACAACAACGCAATAACAACAACTCTTATCCTACTAAATGGAATTAGCTATATGAATCGTACAACACTACTATAATTCACCAAAAAATCTCAATTGATAACTTCCTTAAGTGTCCTCACCCCACCTCACTAGAGCCTTTGTCAGCCTTCTTTATAAAGACTAAATCAACTTAAAAAATCTCCACCATTTTCTCCTTGATAAGTGCTGAGATAACTTGTCCTCTTATATAGTCTAATGTGACCCAACCAATAATACAACAGAAACACTAAATTAAGACAATAACAGCACTAAATATGAGAGGAAAATGCTGAGTTTTTTATAATAATGAGCTGAATGGACCGAATCAGAGTTACAAGGACACTCTCTGATTTGGCAAAAAACTCTATTTCCTCTATAAATCAAGATAACTCCAGCCACTAGATTTCAAGCTTCAAAATACAAGTTCCCTACCACTGGCATTCGAGAGGCCAGTCTCTCCTCACCACTCTCTTCTCTCCTCCCACTCTCCAAGCCAAAGACTACTAATACCCTCAGTATGGCTTACACACGGCCCATACTACCCAAAAGATTATAATCATGACAAAAGATTACAAATCACTGTTCCTTACGGCTAGGGACTGACGGATAAGTCCCTGAACCAGTTAAAGTATTTCCACTAGAGTTATTCCTCCCCTTTGACTTCCTCTGATATGTCTTATGAAAATAATGGGCTCTATCATTACCCTCCCCTAAGAGTTTCACCTTGTCCTCAAGGGGAAAAGTTGGAAACTGTTGGCAAATCATTTCTGCACATTCCCAGGAATTCTCAAATTCTGGTAAATCTTGCCATTTAACCAACACCTCTCGCTGTCCGTTCATAAGCTTGCAAACCTTTCTTATATCTTGAGGCTGCACCTGCAATTCAAATTCATTAGAAAGTATTGGGGGAATGGAAGGTTGTACCACAGTAGCTGAAACTGTTTGCTTTAGCTGAGAAACATGGAATACAGGGTGAATGCGGGCAGTGGGTGGGAGTTCCAGCTTGTAGGCCACAGTCCCGATCTTTTCAAGAACCTTGAAAGGTCCGTAGAAACGTGGGCTAAGCTTCTCATTGTCCCTCCGAGCCAGGGTTTTCAACCGATAAGGTCGAAGTTTCACATAAACAAGGTCCCCCACTTCGAAATGCACATCCCTACGATGCTTGTCAGCTTGCACCTTCATTTTGCTTTGAGCCTTAGCCAAATTTTCCCGTAATTGCTCAATGATCTGATTTCGAACCTGAATCTGTGCATTCACGTCTTCTACAGCTGAGGGTTCGCCACTAAATTTTAAAAAGTAGGAGGATCCCTTCCATACACTGCCTTAAAAGGTGTCATGCCCGCCGCGCTATGAAATGAAGTATTATACCAATATTCAGCCCAAGACAACCATTTAGCCCATTGAGTAGGCTTCTCATTGGCAAAACAACGCAAGTAAGTTTCCAAGCTTCTATTTATCACCTCCGTTTGTCCATCGGATTCCGGATGGTAAGATGAACTAAGGCAAAGTTGAGTTCCAGCTTGTTTGAACAATTCTTGCCAAAAATGGCTAATTAAAACCCTATCTCGATCTGAAACTATGGTTTTAGGGAAGCCATGTAGCTTCACAACCTCAGCTACAAACTTTTCAGCAACATCCTTTGCAGAAAAAGGGTGGGCAAGAGGGAAGAAATGTGCATATTTTGTGAGTCTATCCACCACTACTAGGATGGTGTCATACCGCTTTGATTTGGGAAGCCCGGTGATGAAATCCATGCTAATATCTTCCCAAACACTTTGAGGAACAGTTAATGGCTGTAACAGACCAGCAGGAGTTAAAGCTTGGTACTTATTCTTCTGGCACACCTCACAACTTGCCACATATTGCTGGACATCCCTCTTCATCCCTTCCCAATACACTACATTAGATAGCCTCTTGTAGGTCCGTAAATAACCCGAATGCCCCCTATCGGAGAATCATGGAACTCCCTAAGTAGCAAGGAAATTCTGATAGAGCTTTTTGGTAGCACCAGTCTGCCTCTGTAGTGCAGGCAGCCATGGACCACGCTGTACCCTTCCACCCCATTTTTATTCGTGATCAGTTGCTGCAGAATTTTTCTCAATTTTGGGTCAGCCTGTACCTCTTTCTCCCAGTCTTCCACATCATTATATTGCCATAAAGAAAATGCCAGCAATTCCAGTGATTCTTCTTGTCTGGATAATGCGTCAGCAGCCCTATTCTCTTTCCCAGGCATGTACACAATTTCAAACTTGTATCCCAATAATTTAGAGACCCATTTCTGCTGGTTTTCTTCCACTATTCTTTGCTCCAGCAAGTATTTCAAGGCCTTTTGATCTGTACGAATGATGAATTTATGCCCCCAAAGATAATGCCGCCATTTCTTGACTGCCATGACAATAGCCATGAGCTCCCTTTCATAAATGGAGCATTGTTGTGCTCGAGTAGAGAGTTTTTGGCTATAGTATGCTACAGGTCTGCCTTGCTGTGTTAGAACAGCCCCTACACCAGTGCTAGAGGCATCGGTTTCTAACTCAAAAGGAAGGGTAAAATCAGGCATTGCAAGCACAGGTAGTGTGGTCATAGTTGTTTTGAGTTTTTCAAAAGCCGTTTCTGCTTCCGTTGACCATTTAAATGAGTCTTTTTTGAGTAAATCAGTGAGAGGACTAGCAATCTTCCCATAATTCTTGACAAAACGACGATAGTATCCAGTCAGCCCTAGGAATCCTCTCAAGGATTTCACATTCTTAGGCTTTGGCCACTTCATCATGCTCTCTATTTTGGCTGGATCGGCTTGAACCCCTTCTTTTGAAATCAGATGCCCCAAGTATTCAATCTTGGACTGAACAAAGCTGCACTTCTTTAAGTTTACCACGAGCTGATTTTCTTTCAGGACGGAAAATACTGTCCTCAGATGCTTCAAGTGAGCGGTTACATCACTGCTGTATATAAGAATATCATCAAAAAAAACCAGCACAAACTTGCGCAAATATTCCCTGAATACCTCATTCATCAAGGACTGGAAGGTTGAGGGAGCATTGGTTAATCCAAATGGCATCACCTTAAACTCATAATGTCCCTCATGTGTCCTGAATGCTGTTTTGTGTTCATCCCCTGCTTTGATTCGGATTTGATGGTACCCGGACTTTAAATCCAGCTTTGAAAACACTGTGGCTCCCTTCAATTCGTCAAGTAGCTCATCAATAGCGGGAATGGGAAATTTATCAGGAACTGTAATTTTGTTTAATGCCCTGTAGTCAACACAAAACCTCCAACTTCCATCTTTTTTCTTCACTAGCAATATCGGGCTTGAGTAAGGACTGTTGCTAGGCCGTATAATTCCAGATTTCAACATGTCTTTCACCATGTTCTCTATTTCATTTTTTTGTAAGTAGGGGTATCGGTAAGGCCTGATATTTGGTGGTTGCTCCCCCGGTTTTATTATAATAGCATGATCCTTGGAGCGAGATGGAGGAAGCCCCTCAATAGCTTGGCAAACCATTGGAAAATTTTCCAATAATGTTTGAATTTCCGGGTTCAGAATTTCTGTACTTTCACCATTACTGGTCAGGCCATTATATTCAATCAAGAATCCCTCCCCTTTCTTCCCTACTGAGCGCATTAAGGATTTGAAGGTGGCTTGTGCTCTGGTGAGAGTTGGGTCCCCTTGTAGGAAAACTTGCTTTCCTTTTTCACCAATCCTCATCGTTAGTCGGCTCCAATTCACTCTCACATCATCCAGTGATTTCAACCATTCCATTCCCAATACAGCATCAACACCACTTAGGGGGAATGGGTAAAAAGTCTGAATGATATTAAGCCCTTGTACCTTCATACAGAGATCCTTGCAACGCTTTCTCCCTTTCAACGTAAAGCCGTCGCCTACTGTAATTTTATACTCAGAAATTTCATCAGTGAGTAGTTTCAACCTGCTCTGCAAATCCTCAGCAATGAAATTATGAGTGGCCCCGCTGTCAATGAGTATGATCACTTCAGTGCCCTCAATGGTCCCTTTGACCTTCATGGTATGGTTGTCGCTGAATCCCGCCATGGAGTTTAAAGACAACTCCATCTGCGTCTCTTTTTCAGAATTCTCATTACCTTCGACTTCAAGTTCAGGTTCAGGTTCTACTTCTTCCTCCTCAAGTGTTCGGTCCGTTCCCTTCTCCATGATCAGAACTTGGAGATTTTTGTTCTTACACTGATGAGTGGGATTATATTTATCACCACACTTGAAACACAACCCTAGCTCTCTCCTTCTTGCGATTTCAGCATCAGATAGGCGCCGAGAATTGCTTCCTTTCCTCACTGCAGAACTCCAGTTCGATGTACTCCCAGCCTTCGAATGCTCTGTTTTTGCGTCAGTCCGCCTCGTGTTTTCTGTGAAGGAAGACGCTGGTGTTGTCGCGTGCTTGCTGCCTTCTATCACATGGGCTACACGTGCAGAATACACTGGTTGGGCCGAATCGGATCTTGGCCCATAATGGGTGCGTTGGGCTCGGGTTGCCTTAGACTCCTTACTTTCAGCCAGCATTTGATTTCTCTCGTCAATACACACGGCCACCTCCATCAGGTCTCTCAATGTGGTAGTTTTGGCGAGTTTCAGCTCCGCCCTAATTTCATCTTTAAGCCCAGAACGAAAAGCTCCAATTAAGCATTCTTCTGAAGCTTCCCTTAATGGCGCTGACAATAACTCGAATTCTTCTACAAACTCAAGCACAGATTTCTCTTGTTTAGCTGTGAATAACCTCTCGTACTCACCTCCGGGTTGGGAGGAATGAAACCGTCGCAACAACTCTCTTTTGAACTCAGGCCAGTTGCTCAGTGGAGTCCTTGTATCGAGCCATTGGTACCAGTTTAAAGCTTTACCTTCAAGACATACCACGGCTGCCTCCAGTTTTTGCTGTTCTGTTACAGAATTCACGTGAAAATAGCGTTCGACTCTGAAAAGCCATCCAATGGGGTCCTCGCCAAAGAAAACAGGTAGCTCTAATTTTCGATACTTGCCACCTTCAGTATCTCCCCCTGGGTTCGTCGCAGAAGCCTCCTCATGATGATTTCCTTCTTGTTCTTCCACACGTGGCCCTGGTATCCTCTTTTCTATCTGCCCCAGTGTTTCGGTAATTGCCTTCAATGTATCTTTGATGTCACCTACATCCTTAGTTAATACCCCAACTGTCTCCTTCAACTCCTGTACTTCTTGGTCAGCATATTGTACTCTCTCAGCCATAACTTCTCTCTCAATTTACCCAGAAATCTCACCGCTCTGATACCAAATAATGTGACCCAACCAATAATACAACAGAAACACTAAATTAAGACAATAACAGCACTAAATATGAGAGGAAAATGCTGAGTTTTTTTATAATAATGAGCTGAATGGACCGAATCAGAGTTACAAGGACACTCTCTGATTCTGGCAAAAAACTCTATTTCCTCTATAAATCAAGATAACTCCAGCCACTAGATTTCAAGCTTCAAAATACAAGTTCCCTACCACTGGCATTCGAGAGGCCAGTCTCTCCTCACCACTCTCTTCTCTCCTCCCACTCTCCAAGCCAAAGACTACTAATACCCTCAGTATGGCTTACACACGGCCCATACTACCCAAAAGATTATAATCATGACAAAAGATTACAAATCACTGTTCCTTACGGCTAGGGACTGACGGATAAGTCCCTGGACCAGTTAAAGTATTTCCACTAGAGTTATTCCTCCCCTTTGACTTCCTCTGATATGTCTTATGAAAATAATGGGCTCTATCAGTCATTACAAATCTTATCTTTTATGCTACCCTATCTTGTTAACTTTTTAATATCCAACATTCACTACCACATAATATTGCTACTCTTGCAGCAATTTGATAAAACTTCCCTTTAAACTTAGTAGAAACTTTGTGATCACAAATAATATTGATGCCTTCATCCATTTCAACCACCAGCTTGTAGCATGTGTAACAACTCCATCAATTTCACTATCATTTTATAGTATCAATCCCGAATATTGTCACTAGTGGTTTGGTCTGATTTGTAATTTTTACATCCAAATCATCTCAAACTTGCCAAAGCATGTATTTCATCTTGCTCTTACTCAAGCTAAACCAATCGTGGATATTGAGCATTTTTAACTATTCCACTGAAGAAATACTAAGGTTACAAGATCCAACTCAACACCCTATAACACCCAACATACATATATACAGCAACAAAAACACGGATTAAAGAAAGGTTCAAGTACTCCTGCCCCGTAACACTAAGCTACAATAGTGCAAAAGGTTCAATTGAAGCAGAAAGTGAAGAATGGAAAACAATACAAAATACAAAGACAGAAAATGAAGAGAGTAGACTCCAATCAACTCACTAGATAAGAAACTAGCAAAATTTTGGGATATTGGTTCAGAGATGATTCTGGGTTTATCTGCTTGTCATCATAGGTATGTAGAGAATCTATTAAATAAATTTAGTACAAGCAATTCAGCTTCTGCTCCAACTCTGATGGCCACTAGAAAAATGCTAAGAACGAGTGTACCTCTAAGGTGCTACAGTCCTGTTGGATGCCTTTAGTATCTTAGGCACACAAGTTTAGACATCAATTTTGCAATTAATAAACAAAGCCAATTTAGTCAACCAATTGAAGAGCACTGACAAGGAGTTAAGAAAATGCCACAATATCTCAAAGTCACATTGAGATTGGGAAATTCTCATCAAACCTAGTCGAAATTTGACACTCTATAGGTTATCTGATGATTGGGCTGCCTGCCAAGATGATAGGTGAAGAAATTGGCTGAACCCTTAATGATTTTCAGTCTGATGATGAATATTATTGCTCATAGGTGAGTTTATAAGCAGAGACAACAAGCCTGCCTCCTTAGCCAAAAAAATCTAGGGTAAATCAATAACATCTGTTTAGATTAAATATCTAATGATTCTCTCCTAAAAAAATAAAAAAAATAATTGTATAGAAATAATAGCAATGAAACAAAAAATAAAAAAATAAAATAAAATAAAAACTGTGGTCAGTTTTAAAAAAAAAACCCTAATTGAATGTCAACACTTTCCATCTCTAATAAGGAGAATGACGCTCTTTAACAATGGGCAATACGTTGCAGGTTATCATGCCATTACTGAGGTCCTATTTCAGTAGCAATGGTGTCCAATTGAGGATGCAATATGGATGATTTGGTTTGACTATCAGAGAAAATTTCCAGCTTATGCTAAGCAGTATCAGCTATTGGGAAAAGGGTGTTCTTGAGGGTGAAGGTTATAAACTTATGATGCAGATCATCTCAAGGGATGGGGTTAAGTTGTTCTTTCTATATCAAAAAATCGAGATATTTTAGTCAATTTGTGATTTCATCCGGTGGTCTTCAAGTATAAATTGAAGCATTTGAGTTAGTTGCAATAAGTTTTGAGCAATGGAGTCATGAGAAAGAGGAAGTTTTGAATCTATGAAATATGAGTCTTCTCTATTCTCTATTTCACTGTCTCTCCCTTGCTCTTCTTTATTCATATTAGAGGATCTAAAGCTCCAGAAGATTTTAGGACTGCAAAATATTTCCCTACTCTTGTGGTGATTAAAACTATTTCCTCTTGGACAGATATTACGTAAGTTAATTTACTCAGACTTGAATGCAAGGAAATACAAAAACAAGGAAAAAATTCTTAAATACTTCTTAATTTAGAGAGAGAGAGGCTCACCTCCGGCTATAAATTTGATGAAGAGATGACATTAACCAGCTGCGGTCCTTTTCTTGGTCCCCTTCCTCAAAACTGGGGTCTAACCCTTCCTTTGGTGTGCTGCTCTCACTGTTATCAACTATAAAATTTATCCTTCTAGTGGTTACCTTCAACAGGAGAAGGGCACTCTGCATTACTACATATAGCATAGCTGGGCGAAGACATTCAAAATATTTTACATCTTTCCCTCAAAATAAAAGTTTGTTGAAATTTCATGAATAAGAATATTAGTGCAAATAGTACCCCTAAAAAAATAAGAATGTTAGTAATTTTACGCTTCAAATATTCCACAGAAATTTGCCACGTAGTAATTCTCTACAAAAGAATCCACATAATTTTGTTTCCAGGCAAGCAGAAGTTACAAAAAACGTGGGAAAAGAACACATCAACAAAGTTGGAAGACAAAAAGTGCTCGTAGAACAAAAGTAAAATCCATTTTGACACAACTACAGAAGATGCCCTAAATTAAAAATTGCTAAATGAAAGAAAGCTGAACATACATTGCTCCAAAACTTTGAATTCCCCTCTTGTTACCAAATCTTTTAAAACTACTTTAGCGGAGATGTTCCAAGGCAGCAGACATCAAAACCACGTTCAAACATTTCGTATATTCGTGATTACTTCTCAATTTAACATCAATTAAATAAGACCTGAGCTAAACATATTTTTCATAACCAAAATTTTTAGCAAAACTTCATGACAATTTCTTCAATGAATCAAAATTCACCCAAAAAGAGATTAAAAAAAAAATGAACCAACAAATTGGTAATTGGGTTCCTTCATCTTGAAGCACAAAAATGACAATCATGTTTAGCAAATCTTCCATGTGAAATCCATGTTAGCTTTATTGCTTATCACTCCACTTGTCACATGATGGGAGAGGAAAATTCAAGTATGCCATATTGCATTTTCACCTTACAAAAAAATTTAAAAAAAAACATCAAAAAAAAAAAATCATTTATTGAAAAGCTTACGGAAAAAAGTTTTAACCTAAAATCCTGAGCTATACTTCTATGCTCTTTAAACTTCTTGGTCCTTGGATAATTAATTTCAAATTTAAATTACATCAAAAACTAGATTTTAGAATTTTTTCTGTTCATCAAAGTAATTGTAAACATTAAATGTCTTTCAATATAAGCAATATCAACTTGGTTTTTTAACTACAATTTTTTTAATTTTTTAAAGTGAAAGTGCAATGTGACAGACTTCATTTTTTTCTCATCCATCATGTCAAGTGGAAAAACATCCAATAAAACCAACGAGCATTTGGTAAACACAATAGTCATTTTTTTCACGTGCCAAAAGCAGGGTGCCCCCATGCCCGATTGTGAGTTTTTTCCACCAATCTTCTCACCACTTTCCTAGAATTTTGATTCATTCCTACAGCAACCATATTTGTACACACTAATTTACACTAAAAGTTGATATTTTTACATTTTTTACATCTCAGCAATATCTTCGGGGATAGCTTTGGAGCTTCCTTTGCAGGAGAGTTTCAAAAAGGGACTATCTCATTGTAACACTAACAAGTTAAAAGTAAATTAATAATTTGATCTCTAATATAGCTAAATCTATTCAGCATCAGTGATTATACGAGTCAGTCCTAAAATAACTAATTAACTCAAAGCAAGAAAAGGACTAATTTGGTACAAGTGATTTTTTCAGCGACTGGCTTGTGTACTCACAAGACCAGATTTTAGTGATTAAAGCTACATGGGCATCACAATTCACAGATCAAATTGCAAGTTCTCTTCAAAATATAAGCAACTTCCAACTAAGCCCATAAAACTTACTTGGAAGGTTCCCTGAACAACCTTAAGTGGCCGGACCATTGATGATGGCAGCTCAAGAACAATTCTTTCATCAAGTTCACTAAAAACAAACCCAGGGGCAACGGCAGAATGAATTTTGGACAAAATTTTCATCACTTGCAATTTGAGTACCAGTAGATTCAAACAGATGCATGTAGGGCTTGTTCAGCTGATTCAGAAAGTCTAGGATCATTCTCCCCCTTCGGCTCAGCACCATTGACCATACCATCCCCATTCATAATTTCTGCATGCTCTTCATCTTCATTGACTTCTTCCATTGAGATTGCTTCCGCTGACAAATTGGAGTATTCTGATCCTTTTTCTCCTCCAAATAATCATCATAATTAGCAGCAGCACCTAAATGATCATTCCCTTCGTAATTCCTCCTCAAACATCGTCTCATCCTTGAAGAACTTTCCATAAAATCTAGCTTCCAAAAAACCTAAAAATTTCAAGACTAAAATTAATAATAAAAAAATATTGAATCCTAAAAAGTGTTTTCTTTACATAGGAGAAAATTTTAATTAAAGGAGTATACATTGGAAATACAAGAAACCCTCAAAAGAAAAAAAAATCCTAATGAAGAAGAAAAAACAAACAGAAAACCAATGAGTCAACTCAAAAGAGCCATTCCCCTCATTTTGCAGAAGTGAAAAAAAAAAAAACATCCCCAAAAAAATTGAAAATCAAAGCTTTTGACATATAAACAATTGCAGGAACACAAGCTAGTTTGCCAGAAAACATAATGGCCAAACTTGCCAAGTATTAGAATTTCATGCCTAGCAAAAGAGAGAAAAATAAGAAGCAAGAAGCGTGCATCCCCATATAATATGTCTCCTTACTCTTAAAAAGATGGCATGTATGGCCAGAAAAAGATGAGAGGATACAAAGAATGCAAATTATGGTGATGCCAGTTTGTAGAGTATATCACAACATACACGAGGTGGGTTGTTAGTTGATCAGCTATAGGCCCAAAAAGACTTCCCATCTCCATTAACTGGTGAATGAGTTTTTCGCCATGCACGAATTCCAGTATGGATTCGATGCCTGGTAATTACATCCACTTGAGCACGTCTGTCAATCTAGCAAACCAAAAATTTAACATATAGTAAAGTCATTCTGAATAATTAAAAATCACAGTCACAACTTGTGAACAAACCTCAGACCGTTGCATATCCTTGCTAGTGCAAAACTGGCAACAAGAACAGCAATAAATTTATAGGAAAGAGCATTAAAATCTTTCCCATATACTGACTTCGTATCAACTGGCTGCTGCAAACATTCCATCCAAGCAACTCCCATAGCTTCAGAGATACTCCACCTCTTAACACGCTCTGCATCACCAGCAGTTCTTCGTTGTGCAGATGTAGCCATTGCAACAGCACTAAGACCTCGTCCAGAACCAACCTTTGCAAATCGTTCAAAATCACGAGCAGCTGCTAAAGCAGCAGCTCTCGCAGCAGCTTGTCTTTGGGAAGTGGTGGTGCGTTCCCAGGGAGTTCCAGAGGCTTTTGAAAACTTGAAAATGTGTGGAGCCTAACTTGTTTGCGCTCCAGAAGTGAGGTATCACGCCTAAGATGGGCAGTTGTTGCACGAGCTGGGGCTTCACCACCTGAAGCCCCAGCTCCAATCATTGCCAATGCCATTGCAGCAGGTGGAGATGCAAATGCAGCAGCCCAAGCTGGAGATATCATAGCAAGAGCAGCTGAAAGAAATAAAAGATTCATGATTAGATAAATGAAGCTACATTAAAAAAAATTAATAATAATACAAGAAGTTAAGGAATATCATCTTCGGTGCACTTTTTCTTGAACATTCAATGTCGCAGAAGAATTATACAAGCAAGCACATGGTACATTTTCTCTCCCTTGTAGCAGCTCTTTCCTTTAATCAATCATGAGTGTAATGGTGATGGCCGCAATGCAGACAGACAAGATTAGTTATATGCTCCAGAAGCCATCATAAAGATGATTGTTTACATATTGTACTTCAATTAAAGGAAATTCGATTATTATATTCCATGATTTGTTAAAATGCACCCAGCAGAGTATTACTGTGAGCAAGGATAGCAATAACACAGCATGACAACTATGGAAGTTGACTGATGACCATGGTTATTGATAATGAGATATTTAGCCATCACATGGGCACTTGTTACAGAACAAACAAGAAATGATACATGAATTGCTGAATAAATGTCATAACAATTCATAGCAAGTGTAGTGATTTGACCTAAAACGATCAGGTTGCCAACATTAGTAGTCATGCTTTAATACCTTCAAATGTCACTTGTAAGAAAAATAGCCACTTTTCAAGTATATCACAGATCCCACAAAGAGATGTTTAAGATCTATAAGGGAATTTGTCCCTTCTGTTAAGGGAGGAGTGATATCTGAGGGCTACTTAATTTATTGGGAATAAAAATGCATGGCCGAACTCAATTGACATATATATATATATATATGTTATATTATTAATTTGTTTTAAACTAGTACACTCATGGATCTAAAAACATAAATTGAATTATAAAAGGATAACGAATTCCCTGCCTCAATTCAATCCTAGAGATTCTAGACAAAAGAGACTACAGTACTAAACTAGATGGGACATGGATAAAAAAATTAGATATATTGAATGATAGACATTCTTCTAACCTGAATGCCAGTGACATGTTTGATACATGTTTATTCGCTGTTTATAATTCTAAAATACGTTTTACTTTATGATAAACAAAATAAAAAATCTATAAGGTTGCATGCAAAAGGCAGTACAAAATTGAAATTAATGTAGTCTAATTAGGTTCCAAGTTAGACCAGAGTTTCCAAGAATTTAGCCCAATGTAATATACTAAGGTAATAACTAATATTACATTATATACTATGCTGTGTTATAATATTATTTAATACTAAAGTACTAATCAAATAATATCAAATTTTTTTAGCATAATTAAATTCATGCTACATTTGTTTGGGTTTTATGATTGTCCATAGTAAGATGAAAATCTACCATAAGCCAATGGCATCTCATCCTCTATTGAGCTACAGTCCATCACTGCAACTAAATCCTAGTGTTACAAAATCAAACATAAGATTATGCATCATATGCATGAGATAATGCCTTCTTTCTCAAAATACCCTCATGAAGTTTCAAACTAGAATTTGGTGGTACCGCTTGAAGAATTTTAATACTTGTTTTTAATTGATTTTGAACAAGGTTATGGAAGATTTTTAAAATGTTTGACAAGCTCTTTTTTCATGAAAAGGCAAACCTAAATTAATCCTGCATGATCATCAACAAACGTAACAGAACATCTTGCTTCACTTAGGATTTTCCTTTCACTATAACTATGCACAAGATTGAGTGGGTACTTCTGTTTCTTCTCGCCTCTAATGTACACAAAAGAACATTGTGACCACAACAACAATCGCCCCTATTCTATTAAGTGGGATTAGCCACATAGATCATAGATGTCATTGAGCTCTATTCGCAACAAGAGCACATTGTGACCACGGCAAATAATTGATTTTCAATGAAATGATAACCTGTGATGTGTTTTTTTGGCCAGAGGTAGCCTTATTGATACAGTTTAGTGGCAGTTCGCTTGGTTGGGAGACCTAAGTCAGATATTGGCTCCGTTAAAGTCAGATAAGCAGAGCCATAAAGGTCACTGGCATTCAATAAGTTTATAATTTCTAGATGTCAGTGGCCTTTATGGCTCTGCTACCATGAAAGAATTCAGAATTGAAGTTCTGAATGACGTCATATATGAAGGCACAGAAGCATCTTGAAACAGAGCCAATTGATCTGTGCAAAGATCACTTGCCTAATCAAATCACATAACAAAAATTTTAAATTTAGATCTGATAAATCCGCTCCTAGCTAAAAGTACAAAAATAAGTGATGAGTATGATAAAGAAACTAAGATGAAATAATTCATTTGTGCTAATAGCCAAAGAGGAAAAGGCTCAACAGAGATATCACCTATGGATGCCTTACTGCAAACCCAGATCAGTGGCCTTCGTAGAAATTTGTATTACATATATTTTATTGATTTATCAACCTATTCAGCAATACACATGGAGATTATATAGATATATATATATATATCATCCAGTCTTAAGTACAAATAGAAAATACCTCAATGGGCAGGGCATCAGCAGCCAATGCACGATCATCAACAGTTAGAGGATTTAACCATCAGCAGTAGCAAGTTCATGAATTCCAGCCAAAACAGGCCGCCACCTTCTTAAACAGCAACAAATGGGGGAACAATAGCCTCAAGATACTTCTTGCGAAGAGTTTGTGGTCTTTGCCCACAGCATGATATACCTGACAACAAGGTGTACCATGATCAATGGTTATCCCAAATAAAAAGCAAAAGACATACTTTATACAGTACGTAAAAATAATATGTTCGGTGCTGAAAACACAAACCTCAGAATAAAGCACAGAAGATGCTACCAACACTCTTTGTCTCTTAGAGTCAGAAATTGGCATGTTGAGAACAGGTGAGAGGACACTGTTTAAAAAGGAGCAAATAATTTAATATACCATCATTTTTTTCCCCCCTCATATCACATCACTTTGAAAATTGTTCAAATAATGAAGAAAAAACGCAAAATAGTAACCAGTGTTAATTAAATATGTGTATAGGTGAGACTTGATGGTATGAATAAAGGACACTAACAACAATAAAGTAATGAAA